GAGGCTGGCCGGCCTCGCGTTTCCGGCGTGCAGCGCGCTGTAGCCGCCGCTGTGCTGGTGCTGGTGCTGGTGTTCCGCGCCGCTGTCCTCGTCCTCGGTCCTGCTGGACGCCGAGCTGACATAGGTCGACTGCGTGGGCGTCGGTGTGGGTGCGTGCACCGGCGCGACCAAAACGCCGTTGGGCTTGGTCCAGACGTCGCCGGCGGACGGTGCCGCGGTGTAGCGAGCCGGCGTGCGATTTCGGTCGTTCACCTTCTTGCTGTCGCGCCGTTTGCCGACCGAGTCGGGCATCGCGAAACGCAGCTTCTCCCAGAACCTCTTCTCGCCCCACATCACCACGGTGCACGTCTGCAGCAGCAGCTGGAGCTCGGGGTCGCGAGCCGGCGCCTCGGTGGCTAGCAGCACGACGACTCGCCTCTTCCTGGAGCTGGGTCTGATGTTCTCCAACGCTGTCCTCAGGGCGGCGCGGAACTCCGCGTGCTGCCACTCGTTCGCCAGGAACACTGGCGAGAAGATGATGACTATGCGCCTGGCAGCTGCGGCTGCTGGAGGAACGGCTTCCTGGGGCCTGGCTGGGGGCAAGTCTCGCCAGTGGAGACAGAGAGCCAGGCCGGACTGCTCCAGTTCCGCGGCTAGGAACCTGGACACGAAGTCCTCGTCGCGCTCGCTGTAGACTATGTAGCCGTCGTAGAGACGGTCCCTCTCTTCGTCGGGCGGAGCGGTCATCTTGCCGAGACGCAGGCCGTATCTTGCGTGCGCCCACAGGCGGACGTCTTGCCGGAAGGCGAACGCCAGCGCGACGAACAGGCAGATCGCGATGACGGCTACCAAGGCGCCGGCTAAAAGCGGAACGAAGTTGCCGCCGAGCAGGGGGATCTCTTGAATGCCACGGCTGACGGCCTCCGTGGACGGGTCGCCGCAACGCTTCATGGCCTGCGCGAGCGTCTCGACGCCGTCCCGGCAATACATCTTCTCGGGGTCGCCGCGGTGCTCGGCGATCCAGCCCCGCAGCTTCGCGGCGTTGCCGCACTCGCAGCTCCAGGCGTTCCCTTCCAGGGCGACCTTCGTGGTGTCCCCGACGCTGGGCAGCGCCTCCCACGGGTGGAAGTCGACGATCCGATTGCTGTCCAGCCGCAGTACCTCGAGGTTCTTCATCTTGTGGAAGGTCGCGTTGCCGACGGTGGCGATCGCGTTGTGATCCAGGTACAGCTCGGACATGTCCTCGAGCTGGTCGAACTCGGAGCCCTTCAGCTCACGCAGCGAGTTGTCCTCCAAGTGGAGAACGCTCAGCGCGCTGGCGCCGTTGAACGTGCAATTATGGATCGCCGTGATCCCGCTGTTGTTCAGGAACAGCTCCTTCAGCCGGCGTTTGCCGATGAACTCGTGATTGCCCAGGTCGCCGAGCTCGTTGCCGTCTAAGTAGATCTCGGTGGCGTCCATCGGAATCCGATCCGGCACGCGTTTGTAGCCCGCGTTCGAGCAGTCGACCACGTTGCTCGACCAGCTGTGATCGTGGTAGCAGGAGCAGTTGTCCGGGCAGGTCATCTCGCAGTCGCACGCGTCGAAGTCGCAGCAGTGGCAGAGGGCGAAGCAATGCGCCTCGTATCGGCAGAGGAAATCCTTGGGCTTCAGCGAGAGCAGAGGCCGTTTCGGCGTCGCGCGAGCGTGCACCATGTCGCAGGTGACCGAGTCCAGGTCCATGACTCGCGGGTGCTGCCTGAGACGTGCCATCTCGTTGATCCTCGGCAGCCATTCCATGGTGCAGTCGCAGAGGATGGGATTGTTCCCGATGTAGAACTCCGGCAGCTCTCTGTCCTCGGGCACGGTCTGCAGCGCGAGCGCTGCCACCTCGAGATTCCTTATCTCGTTCCCGTACAAGCCCACTTTCTCCAGGTTCTTCTTCTGCAGGAAGGTACCCGCGGCCACCGAGCGTATCTTGTTGTCGTTGAGGAACAGGGTTTCCACGGTGTCCGGCACGTTCGCGTCCGCGATCTCCTTGATTTGGTTGTAGCTCGCGTCCAGCATCTTTATACGCAGCGTGTTCCGCTCCATGTAATAATTCCCGAGCTCGCTTATCTGATTCGCGTGGATGTCCAGCCACTCTATGCTGCCCGGCAGATGGCTGTAGTCGAACCACAGCAGCTTGTTGTCGGACACGTTCAGCCAGACCAGGGACGAGAGGCTGGTGAACGCGCCGCGGATCTCGGTCAGCTGGTTACCGTCCAATCGGATCGCCCGCAACGCCGGGTTCCCCGCGAACGCGCTCTGCTCCACGTGACGTATGTAATTGTTCGCCAGGTTCAGCACCTGCAGCGAGGGCAGCGCGGCGAACGCCTCGCGGGTCACGTTCTCGAGCTTGTTGTCCACCAGCCGCAGACCGTACAGCTCGCTCAGCCCGGCGAACGAGTCGTTCTCGATTCGGGACACGTGGTTGCTGCCGAGGTCGAGGGTCTTCAGGGATCGCAGCGCGCGGACCGCGTACGGTACCTCCGTCAGATTGTTCCCGCGGAGAGAGAGGTCCTGCAGGTCGGTCAGGTTATCGAACACGTGACGGTGCACCGTCCTCAATTTGTTCGAGTCCAGGAACAGCTGGCCGAGCGCGGTCAGGCCGATCGTGTGCGCCGGATCGAACCTCGCGATCCTGTTGTTCGACAGCGCCAGCGAGTGTAGGTTCGTCAAGGATCCGAAGCAACCATCGGTCAGCGTCTCTATATCGTTGTTCTCTAGCTTCAGTATCTGAAGACTGTACAATCCCTTGAACACGTGGCCGTCGATCCTGGTGAGCCTGTTGAAGGATAAATCGAGGATAACCAGGCGCACCAGCCTGGAGAACGTGTCTCTGTTCACCCAGCGATTCGTCAGCTCGTTACTGCTAAGATCCAGGTACTGCAGCTCGTCCAAATTGTCCAACAATCCCGGCGCCAGCACCGCCAGCGAGTTGTTGCTCAGTATCAATTCCCTGAGTTCTTTAGTTTTCGAGAAAAGCTCCGGCGGCAGGGCGACCAGTCTATTGCTGGACACGTTCAGCGAGCGAAGCGCGGTCAGCCCGGCCAGCGCGTGATCGCCCACCGCGGCGATCACGTTCTCCTGCAGCTTGAGCACGGTCAGGCTCCTGAGGTTGCTGAGCGTGCGGTCCGGCAGCGCGGTGAGATCGTTGCTGCTCAGATCGAGCATCTCGAGCACGGGCGTGCAGGGCTCGGCCGTGTCGGAGAACTCCAGCGAGACGATGTCCTGTAACTTGTTGCGCGTCAGATTCAGGCTGGCCAGGCCGCGCACCGGGCAGAACAGCTCCGACGGCAGGGTCCACAGATTGTTATCCGCCAGGTCGAGGTGTTGGAGATTGGACAGGCCGCGCAGCGAGTCCCTGTGCAGCTCGAGCGTCATCGCGGACCAGTCGCCGTTGTGCGTCCTGAGGGACAGGCTGCGCAGGTTGTGGGCGGACGCGAACACACCGCCGGGCAGATAGCGGAACTTGCAGTAATCGAGCCGCAGCTTTTCCAGCCGCGGCAGCGGCGACAGGAAAACGTGCGGCCCGTCGATCTGGCTCTCGAAGTCGCTGCACTCCAACGCGAGCGAGCTGATCGAGTCCACTTGAATGGCCGAGAGATTGCCAATTAAGCCGGGCACGTTCGCGATCGTCCGTACCCTGCAGGCCAGCTCCTTCTCGCCGTCCTCGCCGTCCTTTTTCCACTCGCAGCCGCTCGGTGCCTCGAGACTGGTGATGCTGCGACCGCGCGCCGGCACGCCGTTAAGGGCCAGCAGACACCAGACGATCCCCAGCACAGTTACCGAGCAACGTGACGCCTCCATTCTGGCCATCTCGCCGCTCGCGGGGGACGTGTCACGTTCTCTCCTCGACCCTCGATACTCGGCCCGCGATACTCGAACCCCGCCGGTCTTTAGGGGTTGCCCGGGGGGATGAAGGGGGAAGAGGAGCAACACGAAATCGTACGTCACGCACTCATAGTCACCAACACACTTCGGTTCGAAACCAGCACAACAAATCCCTTCGATGTTTCCTTTCTTTCTCTTTTTTTCACACGGTGGAGAACTAAAGTTCCGCGACGCTACTCGAGATCTAGGAACTCTTAGGACGCCAGGCTCGGATTACCGAGGAAAACCACTTAGATCCACACTGAGGCCGGAGACGATCTCGTCCGACGGTGTCCGTGAATTTCGCGTAAACACTGATCGCTCATAACCGACGCGCTGCGTTGGAGAGGATGCGACGGGAGGAGACAGTGTCCTTCTTCTGCTTGCTGGCTTCCTCGGACTCCCTTTCGCTCGGGTTCCCCTCGTGAGAAACTACTTGCGCGGGCTACGGGCGGTCGTACAACGGTCGGAGCGCGACGACATGCCACCACGGACGCCGGAGAGCAACTGACTCTCAGCCGGAGTCCCTATTCAATCGACGGTCACGCACCCTGCATGACTGCCGGCGTGCAACCGTCGCCCCACCACTTCCACCCCCACCAGCCAGCGATTCCAGCCACGGCACTGGTAGGGGATACTATCCCCACCACACAAGCGAAATTCCCTCGTTCGACGCTATACACACCGTGGTAACGCTTCTCGGGACGCCTTGGTAGGGGCACGCACCACCGAGAACCAGCGAGAGACCGTGCGAGCGAGCGAGCGAGTCGGAGTTCCACGCCACAGGCGGCTCGCGAAGATGCAACAAACCAGCTGACTGACAACACTACTTACTAGGTAAACACCAAACTGGTTCCC